TGCTAGGTCATAGGATCAATATTTGACAAGCATTCTTCCACTTGTCCGAGTGGAGTCTGCCGAACACTTAGGCTGCGTACAAGTGGGACAACAACGGCGCTACAACTCCCATCATCGTCCAGCTGCAGAGTACAAAATGGATGATTTGGTGTGAGTCCATTTTCCCCATCTTACAGTACGTGGTTGATCTAAGGGGCTCCTTGCATAGTGGAAAGGACCGTATCGGGTGTTGCGGCAAGTTGGACCACAAGTTTATGAGGTTCTGCATGACATCCAGCAGGCCGATCCTCCAGAAATTGTGCATGTGCAGTGGTTGAAATGCTTTATACAAAGGAATCAGGAGCGGTTAATACCATCTACAGATCTGCAGATGCCTCCTCCTGATGTTCCTTCAGATCCCAGCTCGTCTACAAAAGAATTTTCCATTCTTCCGAGAGGAAGGGATGATATGAGGGCCAAATGTATGGCTATAATGCCGTATACTAATATTAACGTAATGAGATTTTGGTAGCCATTAGATTGATTTCAATCAAGACCACTCGCTCTTGTATATAAACTAGGGTTTTTGGGCTAATTATTTTTATATTCCCTTTCCATATTCCATGCACTCACACCTTTATATTTATTTTGGCATTTGACATTTCAATGTTTATATCATCACCTACCACATGAGTATAATCTTTTTTAATAGAAAAACTTACTAAACTCTTTAAAGTTTAGAAAATGATCATTTTGGGCTGGTGACTTATTCTTTGTAATGCAATATTGACACAAGCACCCACAGAAATGGATCTAGCACTTGCTGTGAGCTCTGCAGCTTTCATCACTCTCTTGGTCTTGTGGTTCTTGAAACCTTCCTCAAATCTTCCACCAGGTCCATGGGGATTGCCCCTGATTGGCCACTTACACTTGCTAGCAGGAATGCCCCTGCACAGAGCATTCCAACGCATAGCCAAGAAGTATGGTCCTATTACTTCATTGAGGCTGGGAATGATCCCAACCGTGGTGATTTCCAACCAAGAGCTTGCCAAGGAGATCTTCACCACACACGATCTAAATTTTGCTTCCAGGCCATACTTGGTTTCAGGTGACCACTTCAGCTATAACTTTTCTGGACCTGCAACCAGTCCCTATGGAGAGCTATGGCGAAACACTCGCAAGCTGTGTACAATAGAGCTCTTCACGGCCAAGTGTATTGACTCCTTCTCTTGGGTCAGAAGGGATGAGCTTTCTCGTACCTTGGAGGGGATTTTGAAGGACCATGGCGATGACGAACCTGTGGAGGTGAGAAAAGTGGCCAGTGTTTTCTCCTTCAACATCACATCACGAATTTTGATGAGCAAGAGGTACTTTGGTGATGAAAACGTAGATGCCCATGCCATGGAATTCAAGGAGCTCAATGACAAAGTTCTTGAGCTGGTGATCAATCCCTGCATTAGCAACTTGGTGCCCTGGTACTTGAGATGGCTGGACTGGCAGATTCCTCGCTACAAGCGAATCCA